GTGGTGAAGCCCTGGATGGACGACGTGGCCGCAGGAAGAAATTATGTGTTCCAGCAGGACTCAGCGCCCGCTCACAAGGCGAGGAAGACCCAGGCTTGGCTTCACAGCAACCTGCCCTACCACTGGTCTCCCGATTTGTGGCCACCGTCTAGCCCGGACTGCAATCCCCTTGACTACTACGTATGGGGCGTAGTTGAAGGGAAGGTCAATGCAAAATCCCATAACACCAAGGACGCCCTGAAGGCCACCATTTCCGAGGTAATGACCAACATGGACAAAGAAGAGGGAAAACGCGCATGTAGTCGGTTCCGGAGCAGGCTTGAGCAGGTCGTCGAAGCTGACGGCGATTACATCGAATAATTTCAATGAGGAACATATTTCCAACAATTGTGCAAAGTTGTGTGCAAATAATCTGATTCTATTTCGTGTTTTGACGGTTTTTGTACTTAAACTCAATTTTACGGATTTACCTCGACGGCCCTGTATATAGATGTGATCAAGTCGATCCCTCATCGATTATATCCTGCGAGAGAGAGAAGTGTGTCGGAGTGCATGAAATTAAAGGAGAGAGCAGTTCCAAGCTTTCAACGTGTTGTTGGTGTCTACGAAGTGTTTCTTCGTGTGTCTCTACGAGGTGATCCGACGCGATGCACAAGAAGCATCAGATGCTTGTTCTGGCCTGTTTTTTTTTTTTTAGACGTTTTCACTTGGAGTTTCAATTCTGTCTCTCGAAGACAAAAGAGGGAAAGAAAGGAAATTATGATGAGAAATAAGGGGATTCTCAATCGGCGACGACGATCTTCTGAGAATGAATCAGTCAATCGATCGATGAACTCCGCAATGTTCCGTCTGCAACGTGCCGCTCGCACTCACGAAGAGAATTTTGAGTGAATTCCCTTCGTATCCGCAAGAAACGAGAAGAATCCCGAGGAAAAGAATATTCGGCTCTCGCGAGGGCGTCGCCAATGGAATGTGGAATCGTGCCAAAAATTCTGTTAAAATCGGCAACCGTCACCAGCGGACGAGAACTGGATTTCCCGACCTCATCCTCGCCGTTCAGAGATCTATCGTCGTCATCATGAAATGTGGATCTTGCATTCACTCTTATCGAACGTTATGACCATCTTTTTCACTCGCCCCCCCCCTCACCCCCTCACCCCAAGTGATGAATGAGCGCCGAGGAAGATCCAAACAGCGAAGAAGTGGATCGTTGAAGCCTCGCACTCGTTGGAAACCGATTTTTAAGCTGTTTAAGCTGAGAGGAATCAGGAACATTGCAGGACATTACAGGACATTACAAGGACATTACAAGGACATTACAGCCCAGTGAGTCTCGCGAGCGTTCCAGGAATGAGCATCACCATCTGACCGACTTCCTCGAATTTCACGAAGGTAATCTTCGACGTGGGACCCTGCGAAAGCTTTCCACGAATTGAGGCTTCGACGATCTAAATCGGAGGGAATTGTAAGTGGAGAAGCGTCGGCGTTCGCCCGGCGAGCGAGCGGGGTCCCTCGGGATCTCGGCCCCCACTTCAATTCCTGGTTTGCATTTACGATTTAGATCAATGCCTTGCGAGTAAAATGAGGGATCGGGTCCATCGTGCAAACATGGTCTTCTCCATTGTGGAGGGGAGAGGACGGGGCGAGTGCAGAGAAAAAGAGTGAATTTTTCACATTTCATGACGATAGATCTCTGAACGGCGAGGATGAGGTCGGGAACTCCAGTTCGGTAACGGTAGCCGATTGTAACAGGATTAAAGGCACGATTCCACATTCCATTGGCAATGCCCTCGATTCCACATTCTATTGGCGATGCCCCCCGTGAGAGTTCGCACTGTGTTCTTCCGTTGTGAGCGGCCCCGGTGAGACTCCATTTAGAGTGTTGCTTTAGGATTAGGAGACCTGCAAATACCTGAAGCGAACTAACGACGCGAGAGAGGATATTGACAAGCGGCTACAGGAATGGCGAAGGACTAAAACGTGAGAAACATTTACGAGCGTTGGAACTTCATTCGCCCGAGTGAAGGTTAACGAGGGAAGGAGGAGGAGGAGGAGGAGGAGGAGGACCTCACCTAGGAATGCCCACATCGTTAAGGGAACCGGAATCGTAGAGCGCGGTGGGTGGAGCGACTGATCGGGGAGGGAACCGATTCGAGTCGCTCCGATCCCAAGGGAGACTCGAGGGATGGCTTCTTCGTTGGGGAATGCGTGGAACGTGGCGGCTGGTCGTGTTGTGACTGCCCTGCGCCGTGACGAGTTTTAACGGGAGGTTGCATGTCAAAAGGGGGAATGTAGCGAAAAGGAACTGGGCGGTAGGCGGATCCATCTTTCCCTCTCTTAGCGAAATCGTGAAGCCCGTAAGCTGAACGCGAAGTCCCAATCCTTCCGTAGATGACCTCAATTAGCTCATAAACGCCTTCGTGAAGATGAAATGGGAAGGGGTGTTAGCGACACGTAAGTTGCCTGACGGGTGATCGACTTCCTCCCTTCGATAACATTTATCTTTTCGACGGATAGATCTATTGAAGGGAAGGGATTTGGGGGGATTAGGATTTGAAGGAAGAGATTAGAATGAGCGCGGGATAGAGAGCCGGAATGCCGATTCGGGCAGAAATCCTCCTTGAGGTGCCGCGAAAAATTCGGCCCTCCGTCAGTCCGGACGACCCGCGTTGAACAAGATGTTCCCCCGAGGACCGAATATTGTAAATATTTCGCCCTCCAGACGGGTCGTCAAAAAATATTTGACCCCCACTTCCAGATGAAATATTCTACTTTCATATCCACTTAAAGAGGGACAAGGGAGCCGGCTTCTCCCCCATCTCTCCAAGTGGAGTGGATAAAATTTTTTTCGTCCGAAAAGAACCTCAGATAGTCGATGCTCTCGTGCTTGATGTCATTCAACAATGCTTGACACTTGAGTTTTCGATCAGCTTTGTTTCTGTCTGTAAACAATTGCCGGTTCCGGAGAGCAAAGGATTTGTAGCCAAGGTCCTCGTGCACTGCCAGACTAATTGTTGACCGCGCCACGCCCATTTCTATCGCCAACTTGCCCATGCTGCATCCAGGATCCGCGTCGATCTTCTCTTTCAGTTCGTCAACGAAGTCGGTTGTCCTTTTCCGGTCCGNTTCTTGTGCTTGGGAAATCTGATAGAAATTTATAAGCTGAACGGATTTTGCCAGGCGATTATTTGCAGTGTTTCCAGTTCTTTTTTTTCAGGCGAGAAATAGAGAATTGGAAACTCTTTGGGAATTCCAGGGTTAAAGGAGACTTATTTAAAACGAATATGCCAAACCGAATTGATTCTGAATCCATGGAAGAGGAAGGAAAAGCCTCCAAAAACGGAAGGGATGAGCATTCCGTGAGCATTCCGTGAGCATTCCGTGAGCATTGCGGGTCGTCTGCCGTCGTTCCCAGTTGGCATCGATGGCGAAACGGAAAATCGAGAGCACGATCCTTGCGCGTCTTCTCGGAAGCGGATTCATCAGATTCCGTGGATGAGATCAAGGCAGATCGTGGGGAGGCAGGGGATCGGGAGCAGCGGGTAAATGTTATCAAATAAAATGTAATAAAACTGAAATATTTTAAAACGAAATTCATTCGAACCGAATCGAGACGGACAGAGCTCAAAAACCGGATAAACTTTGTCTTTAGAAATTTTTGCAAGTCGAAGTGCAAATTTGATTTTTATGGAAGTTTGATTTTTATGGGGGAGGGAACTCTTCATCTCACCGCGATTTTCCGCAGATTTTCCGCAGATTTCCCTGCGAAATCCTTCCGCCACCGAGATGAAGGAAAACTTTAATAAAATTTTCAGGTAATTTCCCTCACATTGTTTTTCCCATTCAAGCAGAGGATTTGCACGGCGGTTATAGTTAGGTTGGTTTTAATGGCGCTGGCTTATTGCAGATAAATTGCAGATAATTGATTGTCTGACATATAGAAAATGGGCAAATCTGGTGTCGAGAGGAAATAAATTTGAAGTTCCAGGCCACCGATATTTTCTAGAATTTCCGGCTAAAACACGATACGAAATATTCATATGATGAATGTTTTGAATGAACCATTTTGAATTAACCATTATTTAGTGATTATTGGAAGGTTTGCATTCGTCAAAGAACGGAGAAGAATTCTTGCCACTCGCCGTGCCATTTTCTGCTCGTCGATGAATGGGAAATGGCGAGCAGTGACGACGGAATTAAGCGATTCCCGAGGCGAAAGAGGAAATGAATGAGGAAAAAGGAAAAAGAAACCTCGTGGATCAGTCGATACGGGAATTCCTGGAGTCGAAATTCAATCAGTTTGAC